CTTTGATAAGCGTCTCTCCCCCTTCGATTGCATCAACCAGGTATATAGCATCCGGAAATGCAAGCTGCAGGAACATGAAAACTTAGTAGGTAACACGGAAATAAGATGAGAACTCATCGAGAGTCCTGACTACAAAAATACAAAAAGACTGGATGTAGAAAGAGAAGGTTACAAATTACAAGATTATATAGAACAAAAAACAATGACCGTCTCAAACAATAAGATGCAAGTTGAGAAGCATGAAAGTGCTGCACCTAGGAATTAATAATACATCCTTGATATAACCTTCTTAATAGTGTCGCCGTTAACAGAAGCATGTAATGTGATATTTATAAGCGGTAATTAGTATTATATCACCATATTTGAAGCCAAACATTTTTATAGCTGCTTTCTGTCTCGACTAAACAAGAAAAGTGCACTTAGGTTATTTCCATTCACATAAGTCTCTCCTACATAATTAGATATTATAACATTAACATTAACATCCGACTCCAGTACATATAACGCAAGCTCTCTCGTCAAGCTTACGGAGCAAGCAAGTATAGCGCACCTGCATTATACATAGAGCCCCATAGCGACACAAGTCGACACCCTCACAATCGAAACCAATGACGAGTTGCTTTTGGGGTGAGGGTTGGAGGAATTCAACTGGAAGTTGAGATGCCCTGGTGACAATATGAATTGGAACCGGAGTAGAACGATCTTCATGAACCAGAAGCTTGTTACCTGAGTTGCCATTGAAATTCCAAACAAGTCAGTGCGATTCAACGGCAGAGTTCCAATTAGGTTCTATAGAACAGCAGATTACGATTCAAGTAAACACGCTATCAACTAGTAAAGAGCTTATTCCACATTATCTTTAGGGGGAAAAAACAGCCGATGAAGCTGTAGAAGACTGAGGAAATCGATGTTGTAAACCGATCAACGTTATCAAAACATGTTCAACCTAGAAATTTGAAGGAAAAAAATAACAGAGGAAAAGTGAAATGAAGAGTGAATTGAGAAAAGAGACGGAAGAGAAGGAAAATGAGAGAGTACCAGGCTGAGAGGCAGAGGGCAGAGGAACATCTGTCTGATATGACGGAGGAGAAGAAGCCATGTGATCGGAGCATCCAAGCACATCACTCTTTTCTCACCACCCTAACGCCTTTTTATTCATCCCCCTTTCCCTCTTTCGGTTTCGGTTCTTCCTTCCCTACTCTTCCTGAAACAGGCGCATTTTTATTCTTCCATTTTTACCCTTTTCATCACTTGCGCCAGAAACATGTATTCATCATCAATATGCTGTATATTATAAAATTAATGTATACTAAAAATATTGGCCAGATTTTAGATTTCTGTTTACTGTTTTCAAACTCTTCAAAGTGAATCTTAGGCTTTTTTTATATTATTGTGTTTAATATCAGCAAAAACATACCGATAACCTCCTAACTTCTTTCTGGTAATAATGCTCTATTCAGTTTTTAATATAAGATATTTTTAATGACTTCACAAGTAAATAAAAAAATCAGTTAGCAATAGTTTTTCTCTTTTTGACCAAACAGTTAGAAATAGTTTTTTATCGGGAGAATAATAAAACATTATCATACTACCTTTTAATACTACCTTTCAATTAAAATGAATATTATTGAATTACATTTGGCTTATTTCTTACATAATCAAAAGATGTCTTTTAGGAATTGGAAAGAGTATTTTGTTTAAGCTTCTTAAAAAGAAAGCATTGGAAAAGTCTTTACAGTGGGCAAACTAAACTGAAGGCGTCAAACCGCCGTTCACGATGGTCTCACGCTGGCTTGACGCCGGCCCGCGGGCTGTCGAAAGCTAAGTATGCTTGGAATATGCAGTTAGGCATTAATCATCCCAGTCGCCCCCTAATGGGCCTAATGGGCTCGGTTGTATATTTTTTGAAGAGTCAGATAGAACAGGACTTTGTAATATTCGGGTTTCATCCCCTGCAAGGCTGTAACCCACCAACCCTCCATGTCCCCACACACAAAGAGAAAAAAACATCTACCCTCCGTGAGCCGACTAAATTTGTTCCTAATCTAATCAGAATCCATCTTTAGGCTATTATTTAAATTAATCGACTTGATTGAATGATTAAAAAAATTGTTTAGGATGTTGTCAAAAGACTGTTTAGAATAAATTATTTTTTATTCTGTTCAATATGAAATTTTATCTTCTCTTAGACATGACCATGATTCATTTTTTTCTATTTAAATCTATTATTTATTATTTTCAACCATCACACCATGTCATTTAATCGCAACCCTGATCACCTGCCATTATCACATTATTATTTTTCCAAGTAACAATTACTGCCGTTATGACCATCTGTGTTTATATGAACTAGCTCGTTGCCCTCAAACTGTGCTGGCCGTGACGACCATTTGACGTTTTTGTTGCACATATTTGCTTCCGTTGGAGACAGCAGAAAGGAAGAAAAAAGGAAAAAGGAAGAAAGAGGATCACTGTCAATGCGCATTTGATGAGGTTTTGTCTTGGAGTCTTGCCGGCTGTCATGCCTATATTGGATTGGATTAGTAGCCTACTAAAATGATCAACACCCGGTCTCAGTTATTTTCGTTTTTAATAAATAATAGTTTACTGAATGTGTCAGCATCAATCGTGAGCCATTGATGACATCCTCCTTCTCATCCACCGTGCTAGTGTATTGTGGGAGACAGTTCATCATGATACTAGTATTACCACTTTTCTTACGCCAAATCACCATCACCAATATAAAATATAACTGTGATGGTAAAGCTGACTTGCTTTTTTAATTTTTCGCCCAACACATCAATTATCAAACGATCACCTACTTACCCAGCTGGCTTTAAAAACACGAAACAATATGATAGTTCATGATGAATCTCGTTGTTCGTTTTCCATGTACGTTTAAATAAATAAACAAACATATTCTTACATATTATATAAATTTTGGAAAATAAGTAACATGAGATACACTACAATTTTTTTCATGTATATGCGTATTTTTATTGGAGACGATTTTATTTGAGGCATTATAAAACACTAAATGCGTGCAAATAATTTTTTTTATATTAAATAAAAAGGTTGGATTTTTGTTTGGACTTGTTTAAAATGTTGATTGGAGCTTTTAAGAGCAGCTTGTCCATCGTGTTTTGCATAATACAAGATAAATATGTAAGTGGAGTTTTGTCTCAAAATACACAAAAGTGATTATAATATGGTTATTAAAATAAGAGCTAGATAACTAATTTGAGTATATTAAAAAAATTAGTTATATTAGTTATTTTTTGTAAAAAAAATTAAATTAGTTGTTTGTAATAAATAAATATTAATTTTTTAAAAATTTCTTATCAATTTTGTGCATTGAAATTATCTTTTCACAAAACTTCTTAATATTTGTAATTATGAAATTATTTGAGAACAAAATGGAAAAATATTAGAAACAAAATATATTAAAATCTTAGGGCTAACTATAAGCAAACTGGGTTGAAGTGATTTGTAGACTTTCTTCCTAATAATAATTAATTTGCAGAAATTTAGGGAGTGTTTGGATACCCTGAAAAGTGCTTCTCAGAAGCATTTTTTCGCAAATTGAGATAAACTTCTCTACATATTTACCTCGTAGACTGTGAAATCACTTTTGAAACCATAGTTTGGTTTCTATCCCAACACTCCCTTAATCAATAGCCGAAACAAAAGAACCAAAAGTTCTATCATTCTTTTTTCCCGGAAAAACTTTTTATTATTCTTAAAAAATATATGTTCTACTATTTTATTTTCCATATGACATCAAAGAATCAAAGGAACGGCAGTGATTAGTTAATACTGCGATTGATGACGAATGCAGATTTCATCGAATCTCGCTTTTTCTTTGTGCCCTTCACTCTGTCTGTCATTTTGATCCCTTGATGGAACTCACCCACTATCACTCAATAACTGAACGGCACGTGTACCGCCTGCTGCGCCACCAACCAATCCGCGGGAGCCACATCACCCCCCATTACGCCTTACCTACACCAATCCACAAGCTAGTAAATTCCACTGAGGACGCACACCAGGGAAAACCAAAATGTGATTCGCTAGTCATAGTTACCTTTCTGTCTCTTTTACCCTTTGTCAAAAAAGTCACACGGATCCTTTTCACTCGAAAAAAAGTCACACGGATGTACTTATGCTTTTTAATCTAACCTTTATTTGATTTAATAGTATATATCTGATAATTTAAATTTAATTTAAATGATTCAAGTTTTATTTTTACTTTTTAATCATTATTCTTAATTTTTATATAAAATAAAGCATATTTACTTTTTTAGAATTTATACATTATGATGGATATATGGCAAAGAAAAGAACTCGGAGATCAAAATTTAAAAGATGCAGAAAAAAATACGAAGAGGAAGAAGGAGACTGTTAAATGTCTACGAGGAAAAAAGAAAAAGAAAATTCCTATTTCTCGGTCGCAGGCACAAGGTCAAGGACCGAGAGGATGAGGGGTCCCACTAATAAAAAATTAGAATTAGAAAATAAAAAAGTGAAAAGTATTGAAGGGAAAGTGCCAAAGAGGGGATGTGATTATCATCCAGAAGCAAATAAAAAGAATTGAACACCAAATCAAGATGAATAATTTACTGCAAAAAGGCATTTCTAGCTCCATCCAGGAAAGGCCCACAAGTCCGCACTTTCGCTATTTCCCTTTTCGCAGATCAGATGATGATACTCTGAGGAATCCCTGAATCAGCCACATACTTCTTCCCTTTTCTTCGCGAATTTCTTCTCTCCCACTATTCTCTCCCTCTATCCCCGGTCTACTCCTTTTTTTTTTTTTTTAAATCTTTCTACTGAGTCCAGTAATTTTGCGGCTTTCTCAACATCTGCTCTGACCAGCTCGACTTTGTTCCTCTACAATCGCTTAATTTTACCCAAGGACAGCAGCAGAGTTAGGCGTCGGAGTCTGACTTCTGATTTGTCTTCCGAGTTGGGACCTACTATAACCATCCGGGCAATTTTGAGATTCTTTTGGGTGAACAGATCAGTTTGGAGCTATTGCTTGCGAGATTCATTTTTCACAGACCCACGCGATACCCAGTTGAGCAGAAGTGATCATCTTGTCGAGAACTGGAGCTGATTTCATATAGCTTTCATAAATTTTGTGTCCGCAACGTAGTAGTTTGCTTCGAGTTGCGCGATTTAGAAATTGCTTTGTTATTTGGGTTTAATTATATTGGGCGTCTGTATGTGGATGACTGGTTTGGAGGTCATGCCGTCTTTGCGTGATACCTTCTTTACATAGAAGGCGCTTTGTTACAACATTAAGAGTGAGGATGAAGCGAGGGAAAGATGATGAGAAGTTCACGGGGCCAATGTTCCCGAGACTCCACGTCAATGATACGGAGAAGGGAGGGCCAAGAGCACCTCCTAGGAATAAGATGGCCCTCTATGAATTGCTCAGTATTCCGTCTCAGAGGTTCAACGCACATGGTGATGGTAATACAGTTCCCCCAGCATCTTCAAGCCAGGTATATATTAGATTTTGGCTTTTTGTCTACATTCCTTACTGCTTCTATTCTTCTTCGTTTTTTGAACTCATACCTGCTCTTCAGCACTTAGCCTTTAGCAAACTCTTCTGCTGTATTTGATTTGTTTGCATGACCATTCGCAACCAAAAGAAGTCCTCAAAAAGGGCGCCGGCGGCGACAAACTCATCTGTAGTTGGAGAATTAATTAATGGGGAAATGCATTTTTCAACAGGAATACTATTGCTCCGTATAGATTGGCGTGGCGTGAACTTTTTCAATAAATTATTTTATAGTTAACTGATATCTTAGGACGTTAGTTATATCCTTAGGGAAGTTCGTCTACCTTCGATCGAGTGAAACCAGAGCTTACTGAAGGATCGCTTCTAGTCTGCTCTGTTCCTGGATGACTGTGTTGGTTTATATGTATGCTTTTTCTGAGAAGGCATGTAATTTTTGTGCTTGCCTAGTTTTTTCTGGTGTAAGAACGTTAGTATAATTTTACCTTACCTGATACGTATTTTTGAATTTGGATGCTCTTCCGGGAAGTACGTAGTTTTCATAGTTTGCTGCTTTATGTGGATTGATTGAGAAATATATATTTCTCTTTCTGAATTTGGGAGAAACATGGTTGCAGGGGACTTGTCCGGACAGAAGTCATGCCTTTCCAGTTCATTTACCTCCCCAAACACCTACTTATCGAGCTAGAAAGAATATTTCTCATCAGTCTGATGGGGCAAATCTGAATACTTCGTTTGCACAATTTGAACAGAGAAAAGAGGCAGATGAAGATGACTTCAGGGTTCCTGTGTATGTTCATTTGAGGAGTGTTAACTCTAATGATAAAACTCAGAAGAGTTTTAGTGGGAATGAAATCACCCCCATGGGCTCTAGGCATTTTGCTTCTTCAGTGGATGTGCAAAACAATTGTGACAAAGACTTGAAAAAAATTGGCTCGCCTCATGTCAATGTGAGACGGGATTTGAGGAGCACTGACCACGAAGGGCTTCCAAAAGTAAGCCCAAGTAGAGACCAGGCAAAATCTGTCAGATCCACATCAAAAGGAGAAAATAATGACAGTCTGGTGAAGCAAGCCAAGTCGACTCCAAATCAAGACTGTCCTTTGGCAAGTCTTAGCAGATTACATCGAGGAGATGCTTGCATACAGCCAGAATGTGGAGCTGAGTCAAAATCCAATGACTCTGGACATGGTGAGGGTCTTGTTGAATCAGCAAGGGATACAGAGACAGGAAGTGTCCCCTTACCAAGAGGCTGCTTTCATTCTACAGCAGATAAAAATGGTCCAATGGAGGCTAGCAATAACATCGAATATCATGATACCACGACTGGTGGTCCACTACAGAATGGCCATATAGAAAGAAGTGAAAGTTTTTCCAAGACCTCCATGGTAGATGATTTGTCAAGTATGAAAATTTCTCCAGATGATGTTGTAGAAATAATAGGTCAGAAACGTTTCTGGAAAGCAAGAAGAGCGATAGTCTAGTAAGTCCCCCCTGGGTCAGCAGCCTATGTTTCTGTAGTTCTTGTTCTCTCTTTTTAATTACCTGAGTGGTAGACCCTTTTATGTGCTTTTGCCTTATAAAATGTGTTTGTTGCTGATTTTACTGGCTGTCATAGTTTTTGGATGGCAAAATTCATTTGCCCCCTTAAATCTTGTGACAAGTGAAAAGGTATGCGAAAGGGGAGAAAAATATCCTTGAGTTTCTATTCATGAAAGTTTGCCCATCGATTGATTAGCTTTATTGCGCATGTAATAATGACATATCCTCTCCCCTTCTTTCATCTTCTTATGGACCTGTTTGCATGGTATATGAGGTCTCAATTTGAAAATCTGAAAAAAATTTCCCTTGGAGAGAAGGTGGGATTGAAAAAAGGCGGGACTTTCGCTGTTTACAAACTACCACATTTCTATTGCTGGGATTCTTTTTTTTTTCCCCCCTTGTTCTTGTGCTGCTATAGATGCAGACTTCTTAATGCATCTCTAATTGATAATGATGTTAGGGATGTGGATTTGATATTACTCTTGAAATTTTCAATTCAGGATTTTTGTATTTTGCTTTGAGGATAGGAAATATTGATAGTATCGGGGGTCCCTTCTGACTCGGTGTTTTTGCATATTCAAAATCCTTACTAATGTTTTAATGGTGGGTAGTGGATCATCTTACAGCAGGGCTTAATATTGTACTGTGTTGAAGGGTTACCCCTTGACGGAAGATCATCTCATGATTTCCAGTCCTCTAGCATCTGGTGTCTGGCTATATTCCTGTCTTGGTTTTCTCTTGCTTAGTTCAACATGTTACCACTGGGGCAAGTATCTTTATGCTGCACTGAAGGCTTGGACTAAGAAGGGGACCAAGAAATGCAGGATGATAGCTAGGAGTGTGGTAGGGACGCTTGGAGGGTAAATGGTGAATAGTTGTTAGATATCATGGTGATGAATAGTGTTTTATATATACAGTTTCATGGATTTGCTGTGTATAAAGAGACATTTTAGGATGGAAATTTTCCTTCTCACAGTACTAACGTTAGCTTGTTTAGACGCCCTGCTATCTGTGGTTTTATATCAAATAGACATCTTTCATGTGACTTTATGCATGTACTCCCCCCTCGATGAAAGAGAAAGTTATAAAGTTCTACGAAGTTTTCCTGGTTAGTTGATTGTATTGACAATGCTGGATGCATCTACAATTGTATGCCTCAATGTTATTAGGTAGAGTCTGGACTTGATTCTGAAGCAGATATGATTAAGCTGTACTAGTATCCCTTATAAACGTAATTCGCTGTTACAAGCTTTCTTTTATCTGGCCTTCCATGTGAGTAATTCCATTTTAAACATGATTGTTTAAGGGCATATTTATGTCTAGTCAGTGCTTGTTACATTCATTCTTCTTGTAAGAGTCACGTTAAGATCTCTATGAAGAATGGTGATAGGATGTGTTGTAGACTGGAAGAAATCCCGTATGAACAGGTAGCAACTGATATGGGTGACTGTGTATTGGTGGCTTTTGGGTTGTATCTTGTTCTCTTCAACATGACAATATATAGTTCCAGATGCTGCATTATTGACTTATTTTGATACCATGCATCTCAAAACTTGTATGGTGCACTTTTCTTGATCCAACTCCTGTTTCTCTCTACAGTCAACAGAGGGTGTTTGCAGTTCAAGTGTTTGAGTTGCACAGACTGATAAAGGTAATGTTTTCTCTGACGCCAATGTGGCTAGTGCTTTATCCAAAATCAGAAGCATGTTCGCTTTTCTTTAACATGCACACGTGCACATGGACACAAACATCAAGTCTTAGTCTGTTCATGTAGCTTAAGTCTTCTTACGTAAACAGGTCCAAAAGTTGATTGCCGGGTCACCAGATCTTCTGCTTGAAGATGGTGCTTTTCTGGGAAAATCTCCGCCCAAGGGATCTGCTCCCAAGAAACTTTCACTTGAATATGTTCTAAAACCTCAGCAACAAAGTCTTAAGGGCAAAGATGATTCTGTAAAGCTAAACCATAAACTGGAGTGTTCTGCAGAGAATGCAGTTGGAAAGACATCTGTTTCATCTGTGAAAAATGGGAGCCACCTTTCAAATTACACCCCTTTTTCAGGGAATCCACACCAGGCAAACGTAACTCCTGACAGTAAAATGGGTCCCTGGTATTTCCATCAGTCACCTGGACGTCAGTGGTTGATTCCTGTTATGTCTCCTACTGAGGGTCTTGTCTACAAGCCATATCCTGGACCGGGATTCGGGGGAGTGGCTTGCCAAGGATTTGGGCCTTTTGGCCCAACTCCCTCAGGAGGTGATTTTATGAATCCTGTCTATGGTGTCCCTGCTTCTAATCATGGAATTGGGGTTCCGCCAGACGCTCCTCTATCTAGTTATGCTTACTGCCCTCCTTATGGCATGCCGGTTATGAATCCAACGATGTCAAGGTCAGCTGCTGAACAGATGAACCTTTTTGCAGCACCAGGTTCTAATGGTCATTTATCTGGAGAGGGAGCGGACTTTAACACTCATAATAACCAAGGCTCTTATAATTTTCCAGTTCAGAGAAATGAGAGCATGTCGAATGTCATGAAAATTCAGGCACCCAAGGGTAGTGAGTTCCAAAGAAGCACAGCAAGTAGTCCAGGTGGGCTGGCACAAGGAATAAGCACGGGTCAAAACTCAGAAGGAATTGATGCACTTTCGCCTTTCCCTATGGCTCCGGTGGTTGCAGAAGGAGCCCCTCAATCTCTCGAGACCAGACAACAAACTCGAGTAATTAAAGTCGTGCCTCATAATCCGAGATCTGCAACGGAATCAGCGGTTAGAATTTTCCGATCAATACAAGAAGAGAGAAAACAGTACGATTCGGTCTAGTGCTATTCATTGGGTTGGACAAGTTCCTGTGCCACTTTTTGGACGATGACAATGTTGTCATTGGTAACGGGTTATTCTATCTTTTAAAAATCTTCCTTTGGTTTTGACCTGATTGCAGTATAATTGTATGTAAATATATATGGAATGTCAAAACGTATCCGTCAGAACTCACATGTGGTACGAGTCTCTGTTGTTTCCATGTATATTTATTCGTAGCGCCCTGGAGATGGATTCGACCACCCCACGGAGCAGAGGGACTCCATTAGGTGATTTGTGTTTGTTTTGCTGCAGTGGGAGAGAAAGTGGCTCAATATCCTGCTACTTATTGAATTCACCGTGACTAGGTGGGGATCACGTTCTATTCATTTGCAGTGGTAGCATTCATTTGAATTTGTCTGTAATCATTAGATATGCAAGTGAAAGGGTAAGACACTTGCGTGAGTCGTGTAAAAAAATCCATGCTTGGAGTTAAAAATAATGAGATTATTTTGTGTATTAAGTGGTAGCTACATTAAAAAAAATTTCCGTTCAGAACTTCTGAGTTAAAGGTCCTTAGGGAGCCGGCTCCCCCTTGTAAGAGAGATCAACTTCACACTATTTCTTGTTAATTTGTAATGCATGGATGCCTGAACATGAAAAGTTGCAGGAAATAATTTCGGAAACCAGGGATAATCTTGTTATGTGCTTGGATTTTGTTTTTTCCGGCCGAGGAAGAGATCTTTGGATTTATTTTTTTGGGGGCCAAAGGAGAGATCATTTATTAATTTATTAATTTCAAGGCGGCAACACAAAGTCCAAACTGGGGAAAGACCAACAAGAGCAAATGAAAAGCGATCAATTATTTTTTACGAGAACAACTACATTCGTGTTTCGCTATATGTACATCCCAAGTTAATCACGTATGCCGTGACGAGGGTGAAACCCTCACCCGTATATTTAATAGGGTCGTATAATGCCATCATGACATCCAAGACACGGGCAACTCACATTACTAGGGCGCCTTTTTTGGCCGGAGAGAATGTATATCAGTAATTAAACGCCTTATTCATGTGGGAATGAGAATATATATATATATATATATGTATGTATATATGGTATTATTATGACTACTGGGGCACTGGAAAATCAAGGGCCATAGGGAGGGCGTCGTCCTGGTCCTCCAAAACAGAAAGTAGGCTCAACCCCGATCCCTTGGGCGTAATTAAAGGCCGAGTAACAGTAGGGTTCATTGGCCAACGCACTCACAGACGCAGGATACTTGAGAGATAGCGAGTAGTCCATAATCCTCATGTTCTCTATCAATGCTGCGTTCCCATACAAGCCATGCGCCTCCCCGCCACTGCCCATCGCCGTCGCAGTATGCGGCGTCTTTCTCACCTCCGAGCTGAACACCTATAGGAATGTTGTTCGCCAATTTAAGCCACCAATTCCCTGTTCAATTATCCTGCGATGCGTATAATTACAGTTAATTCTGCAATTCATTGGAACTATGCCGTTGAGATTGACAATAGATGAATTGCCCGGAAAATGCCAAAATTGGCTACATATATTGGGGTCCATCCATATATGAGTTAGGTCCAAGGGCAGCACCAAGAGCTACTAGTGTTCCCATTTGCACAAAACCAGGACATGTAAGATCGAAGCAACCTGTCGTCTTAAATGAATCTCTCTAGAAAACCCAAATATTAGCGACGTCTTTCTAAATATTTCTAATCTTTCTGAAAGTGAAATGGTGCTGCTTACACTCCGGTATGCGGACAAACGAGTCCTTCCGTCACCATGCAACTTGGGGATTCACCGAACAGCATTGCTTCGTCTCATTAACTGTGTACAAGGCAAATGGGAAATGAACTGACTAATCATCCAGCCTGCTTCAACACTTTCAAAAGTAGGGCCTCATTAAAATTGCACAAGCATATTAAAAGTATTCACGTCAAGTTTAAAAAATAACAAATGATTTAAAAGAATCAGAAGGGAATAAGGTAATACTCCTCCGATCCTTATTATAAGACCCAATTTGACTTTTTATTTGGTCCTAATTATAAGACCCAATCCATTTGTCTCTTATATTTATGCATTTTTTCCAAGACAATCCTTTTAATAATGATAGTTTTAGCCAATATACTTAATTAGCAAGGATATTTTAGGAATGACAACACTTATTTATTATAAATAACCAACTTAACTTACTTCCTTAATCTCCTCAAATAAGTCAATTGGGTCTTATAATTAGGATCGGAGGAGTATATAATTTAATGATAAGATTTCATCACATTGAGCAGAGACTCAAAAACAAACCTTAATGGACTTAACCCCCCGGGGGATTGTTAGGGAGCTTCAAAGTGGCATCCATGTGCAAGTGAGGTGGGTTTGTTTCTACTGTGATTTGAAGGCTCAACTGTCTCATTTGATACGAAGTATTAAGAATAAAGGATAAAGATTGAAATTGAAAGCTCAAACTATATTAAAAGATTGTTTAGCATGAGTAATTATATGATACTTGAAATTAGACAAACCCATATATATAGAAACATTTTATATCTTTATTTGTATCTTCACCCTCACTCACATAAGCTAAAAACCCAATATATACACACACATTTGGAAGCCTTTATGTCCACAAATATGGAGTGATAATTAATGCCATTAATGTTCAGACCAAATGTCCAAAGAAGCAATCCGCCAATAAATTTTACTCTTCCGATCCTTAATATAAAACCCATTTAACTAATTTGATTATATTAAGGAAGTTGGTTAATTATAAGAAAAGTGACACATTTTTCCTAAAACACCATAATCATCTTTTTTAATACCCCATCTCCCTCTTCTATTTGATTATAGTTGAGGGAGTATCTATAGGAGTAATTTAGAGAAAATTGATAAATATGAGAAATGGATCTTATATTTAGGAGCAAAACCAACTCAATAATTAAGTTCTATATTAAGGACCAGAGGAGTATAAATTAATTTGCAAGATGACAAATACAATCATACAAATAAAAGATCATCAAGCATTTGGATCAACTGGTAAGAGTTGTTTTAGCTTAACCAAAGATCACAAGTTCAATCCTTTGGGAACACAGAAGTATAGGTGGTAAGGTTGCCGCCCACATGAATCCTATCATAACCCGATTCGAATTAGTCTAGTTTGTAATTCTTTGAGGGGTTGGTCAGGATACCAGTTACATACGTTAAAAAAAAATCATACAAATGGAAGGATGCCAATTTTCCCCCTTCATCCACCTCATGTCCTTGTGACCTGATTCTCTCTGTTTTTTTTTTTTTGGGATCAACTCATGTCATGCATAAGATTTGGGTTTCAATCAAAAGTGATCTTACTAGGAATTCCGTAAATAAACTGAAATATGAATTTTCATATTTATAAAAAGTTTTTGTTCAATTTTAATTTTTGAAAATAGTTTATGGGCCAATATAACACGATAGGAACATTTTTGTAATATTTATCCAATCACTTGGGCTACTAAAATGCTCCCCTTTTTTTTAGCTAACTAGTAAAAATGCTCTCCTAATCTAAATAGAAACGATGACTCTTTTTTAATTTAAATTTTTAGGAATGTACATGTATTAATATTTAATAATAACTCCATAAAGTCCGCTAGCCAAAAAAAAATCCATGAAGTCCATTGTACGAAGTAGTGAATACATTGAATTTATAAAATGTTTGTATCCTATACCAAAAAAAATAAAATGAAATGTTTGTATCGAATTAAAGTTTGACAGCTCAAGTGGAAAGAAAAAAAGTCGAGGAAAGAGATTTTCTCATTTTAACGGCTCTTGTACTTGTCCTCGCATTTTAACTGTCACTAATAATAATAATTTAATGTAATGATCCAAAAATTGCCGATTCATTTAATAAAGAAGAATAATGACACTCTAAAACTCCAAAGTCTTGAAATGGTCATCTCAGACTTTGGCCCTTTATTAACATTTTTTCAAAATGAAAAAGTCAAATGATAAAAATGCTCATATTTATACATACAAGCTCAAAACACTGAAAGCCTAAGAAATTTTGAGTTCTATTAGAATTATTTTGAATTAAGTAATTTTTTATTTTTATATTTATTATTCAATTTTAACAGGGCTAAAGCTATGCTAGAAAAATAGCGTACTATACGAGTTGAAAATGTCAAAAGAATAAATATAATAAAAGATTCTGCCAAAAAAAAATTTATAAAAGGGATTTCTTGAGCACTGCCGTTGTATATCGGCGATAACAGGCAGAACATTGTATTGTAGAAGCCAGGAAGCCCAGATGGGAAGGGAAGAGGGCTTAAGGGCACAAAGGGTTTCTGCCAGGTCCTCCATAGTAGAATTCAGGATCTTCCACATAATCTCCCACATAACGTGCATCATAACAGTTATATTCGTCTGTGAAAGCTTCAACATAAACTGGAGACTTCAAGGCTGGATAATTATCATGAATTCTCATTCTTGTTACCGCACCACAGGTATCAAACATTGCATCAGGAAATTGCCCACTACCCATATGTGTTCCTGTATGAGGACTGGTCCCTACCCTTGTGCTGTAAACTTCACCTCCCCACTCCACTGATTCTGCATTTGACCTCAATCCTGAGAATAGCTCTGCTGGCCAATACCCTATGTTCGTCTCCTCATTGTATTGTAGCCACCATCTGTTTGTGTATGGATCCTAAACCAAATTCAACAGCATCAGATAACTTCTTCAAGGGAATCAAACATTAATAATTATGTCTCACTTTGTAGATGTAAATAGTTATCTGATATGTAAGATCAGCTGGTATGGATTTTAGATGAATTGCAGCACCCAAAGCAATCTCATTGCTTGTTTGAACAAACCCAGGACACGTTAGATCAAAGCAACCTGTTTTGGTTGAACCATCAACCTGCAGAATTTGGCATCCCACATTGTTATTTCGTTCTCATCAAAAGTTTTTATCTTTTTGTTTGTTTTTGAGATTGATTTTACCGTCCAATATGAAAATAGCCGAGTCTGTCTATCTCCATACACGCTCGGGTTCACCTGCAGTCACATATTTCATTGAAAAATGACACGAAAACTTGAGTGGCTCAAAGTTTAGCTTTAAAGACACACTTGAGAAAAGGATAGTGAAGTTGGTGGGTTGCTTTCAAAGGCCACTTTATATGTAACTTTAAGTGGAAGTAAGCAAGAGTTACCGCCCATCCGGCTTCAATTAATTCATAGTCACTGTAAACCCCATTTATGAGAGAGACTTGTGATGTGCTGTACTCATCGTCAGTCTCAACATAAGGGTTGAATACCCTAATGTCTCCTTTACCTCCCAAGTAGCGATATCCCAATGCGAACAATATTGCCTTCTGGTTCCATATCAACTTCTCAATTAATTCAGTTTGTCTCTCTAAACTACAAAAGAAAATAATCTAAACTGCAGTGCTGGAATGGGACGAGTGGTTTTTCTGTTGCACTTCAAGATTCCTGATGTTGAGAAAAGCTGGGCTTCATCTTCAATGGAATGAGCCTTGAGTAGGTCTCTTTTCGTATTCTTCTTACAGGTATTCCCTTCTGTTCCACTTTTCTGCTAACTGGGTAATTTCTGTAATGGGCTCTTCAGTCCTCGCTTCATCTTGGTCCTAGTTCACTTGAGATTCTTGTTCCTGCTGAAGTTGCATTGTAAGTCGGGACCATCTGGTAAAATCCAGATCATATCTTTTGAGTAGGAAAACGAACAGTACAATAATTCGGAATTTTTGATATATGGAAGAAGAGTTTGGAGGCAGAATCACCTGAATTTTATGATGTTTCAGAGCAGGATGATCCAGTGCTGGTTGCTTATTTTTGTCTATGCAATCAATAATATCTCCATCTTCACTCTACAATAATCAGTAGCCGAAAAGGCTTAGCATAAACATAAGCTTCTAATGCAGGACACTCTGAGTTATGCTTTGACGAAAACTAATTCATCTAGCTTCCATTTTCTTGGTTAAAACCTTCTTGTTAAAGGGCTAATTAAGTTACTCGAAGCAGCTTAACGTGGAGTTTTTCATGTGAAGAACTGGAAAATAATGATAGCAGAATTACCTTGATTGTTTTTCGGGAGTGCCTGCGAAACTGCTTTATTTTTCTTTGGACTTCCAAAATCTTCTGCCTAGAGAACGACCCACTATTCCCGCAAGTTATACACATCAATCCCAAACAACCACCAATTAATCTGATTACTGTGCCATTAAAGTGTAACACCTTTCCCATTGGAATTCAAATGACAACTTCTTCTTAATGACCCTTTAAGCATAAAATTTATGCTAAAAAGGCTGAAATGGAAGGAAAGAATACCGACATAGTGTAAAATTTCCATTTATTGGTAACATGTGAAAAATGGCCATTGCTTGATTCAGCTATCTGGCGATTTTTGCATGAATTGCCTTCTATATGCAATCCAACTTTTGTTTACATCACTTTCACATGATATAATTTACTTAAATAATAAATAAGTATGCATTATTAGATACATCATACTAGATACGCGTGCTAAACTTGGGGACATGTGCTCGTTTATAGTACTTCAAATTTTGCCAAAACTTTTTTGATACATCATGCTACCAGTTTCACTTAGTGGGCGGGGAATACCCAACTTATCAATTTACCCAGTAAACTATTGGGGGCTCATGTAGCTTATGCCGGATTAATCGTATCCTGAGCTAAAGCAATGAATTTATTTGAAATGGCTCATTTCGTACCAAAGAAACCCATGTATGAACAATGCTTAATCTTACCTCCTCTCTAGCAACTTTAGGTTTGAGGTACGTTCTGGTGGGGAAGTTATTAACAAGTATAGTCTAAGAGTTAACATTTTGTTAAGTTAAAGTTTGTTATATGCTAACCATTGTGTGTGTGGCGTGTGTATATATATCATCAATTTTTTAATGAAAGCAAGTCAGTTTTCTTTCTTCATTCACCTATGGTCATAGTTATACACCTTTTCATGCCTTGTGTCTAGAGTGCTTCACTTAATTTTCTTTGCACTATTGGGCTTTGACGGTATTTATCATGCACTTCTAGAACTTATATATTAACATGATCAAAAGTAGGACTCTTCCAAATTTTTAAAGTAAATTGAAAACTTTTTTATCAGTGATGATACGATGTTTCTACATTTCTAATACACAATTTCTATGAATAAAGATTTTATTTGGGTTATTAGAGTATTAGAGACATATTAATTATTCTTATAGTTTATTTTATTAGACATGCCATAATTTATTAAAATAATAATAATTTCTATGTTTTTAATGAGTTGATTTGTTAATTATATATATAGGCGATGGTGCGTGTACTCTTAAAATTTTGAAAATTGACGTATGTTATATATTGTATTGTTTTGCATCTAATACAGTAATCCAAATAGTAGTACTCCTCCGGTCCTTAATGTAAGACCCATTTAACTAATTTGATTAGATTAAGGAAGTTAGGTAAATTAGTTAATTATAAGGTTGTCACTAAGACTAGTTACAACTTAGATAGTAAAAATGGGGCTGAGTTGTAATTCCAATTTGATCGAATTCCCCATCTTTGAGAGACTGAGCATTAGGTTTACATCAGCTACATGTAAGGGCTTGTCATTTACACTACATAGCTTAGATAGTTGTGACTAATCTTCTAATCACTTGACGTGGAAGTATTAAGCACCTAAAATTAAGTTTTGTTTTTGGTGGGGGGCAACAGAGTTGCTGAGTTTGTAAGCGAGAAATGGAATGAATTAGTGTACGTGTTGCTCAACCGTGTAAATGAATTAAAAATGGAAGAAACCTGGTAGCCAATTATCACTTTGAAAATTATGCCTTTGAAATGGTTTAATTAAGGGCACATAGGATTTCTACCATGCCCTCCACAATAGAATTCGTGATCTTCAACATAAATCCCCCACACAGCCTGCTCCATAACAGTTCAATTCATCTGAGAAGGAATAAGCCCAATTTGGGGTCTTTAACTCAGCAGAATTACCAGGAAATGCTCCATTACCCATATGTGTTCTAGTATGGGGACTCGTCCCTCTCCTTGTGCTGTGAACTTCGCCTCCCCATTCAACAGATTCTGCATTACCTGTTTAACTCTTGAATATCTCTGCTGGCCAATAACCTATTTTGCTTTTCCCATTGTATTGCAGCCATCATTTGTATGTATAACAGATCCCTGAACAAGTGACCAAACCTAAGTGAATCAACACTTTCCAAGGGAATCAAAATCTGAAGCAACAACTGTATATGTCTCGCCTTATAGAAGACATAAATAGTTATTTGGAATGTAAGATTTCTAGTAATTGATATTAGATAATTGCAGCACCCGGAGCGATATCCCAGGACATGTCAGATCAAAGCTCAACCTGTTTTCTTTGATGCATCAGCCTGTAGAATCACAAAGCATAAACATTATGGTAAAAGTCTTTATTAAGAGATTTTATGCAAGCTTACCGTCCAGTATGCGAATAACCCGAGTCTGTCTATCTCCCTACACACTCGGGTTTGCTTACAGTTATTAAAACCTCCATAGCCAAAAGAAGGGTCGATCCTTAACTTGGGATGTACGTTTATTTAGAGCTGTGAGAGAAAATGATTTGTTAAGTTAGTGGGTTTTTGTCAAGTTAATTAAAGGGCACTTTATTTAACTTGATATCCAAGTAAGTAAGTGTCACCGCCCATCCAGCTTCAAGTGTATAATTTTACCTGGATAGATTTTACAGGGCGTCTTCGAAGGTGCTTTAATTTTCTTTCTACTTGCAAAGCTTTCTGTGGTGAGAACGACCCACCATACCCAGAAGTCATAAATGTCAGTCCCAAAATGATGAAGTAGTAGTCTGAATCTCGTAAAACTTCTTCCCCATTGGAATCAAATGTGAGCTTTGATTTTTTTTCTGATCCCTTAATTAGCAGAAGTTCACCGATGGAAGACAAGTATCCTGAGATATGTTCCAGACATTCTTATTTGTCGCCTACTAGGAAACCAAGACTTCTGCACAATGAAGGAAGCCAGCGGTGTCTGCAAGAGTTACCTTTTCTATGTCATCCAACTTTTGCATCCATCACTTGTTTGACTTGTAAATGCCTTATTTCAGATTTTATATACTATTATAAAAGTTATTTTAATTTTTATTTTAGTCTTAAATATAAGACCCAATCTATTTTATCTTTTATATTTATTTATTTTTTTCTAAGGTAGTCTTTATAGTAATGATAGTTCTAGTTAATACACTTGATTAACAATGATATTGTAGGAAAGATAACACCTATTAATTATAAATAACTAACTTAACTAATTGTTTTAATTCACTCAAATTAGTCAACTACCTCTTATATTAAAAATCAAAGAGATACTATCATCTTACTTAAAAAAACAAACAAGAAAAGAGAAAGAAAGTCTTAAGTAGAGCAGCTTAGTAAATTCAAGATGAAGATGGAGATAAAAATGACTGAACAATGCTCTACTCAGATTGATGGATGTTATTATGGTATGATTATGTGGGCCTTGTTCATAGTCGTCGCACAAAAGAACCAGATTCAAATATTGGCAGAAGTCGCGGGAATCATTTTCCGATGGAAACCTGATGAAACCTCTGTAAATACATTGTTTCTCCTCCTTTCCAAGTTTCTTCCTTGCGAAATCTGTTGGTCATTGTGAGATGCACTGTGATCAAACTCGCAAATTGACTCTTTGAGCTTAACGTTTTTAACATTTTCAGCTAACAAAATCATGTCGATTCATTCTTAAATTCGTGATAATTGTAAGCTCGGTTAAACTTATGAGTTTATTTATCGAGTTAATTGTTTTTTTACGTTTTTAGCTTATAAAATCGTGTTAACTGTGTTTTTAAACTTGTGCTAAATTTTATATTTAATTATGTTTAGTGACTTTATATATGAATTTTATAAAAATTCTTTGTTGAATGTGATAAATTATGAACATTGATGAATATAATTTTAATTATTTAAATTTAAAATATATTTAAATGAAATTGTTCTTGTTTTTTTATATATATAATTATTTGATTTATACTTTTTTTACCATTGTTTATTAATAACAGTAAACTCTTACAAGTTTACGATCTGAGTTTATGATTTGCGTTTATATCATTATCACGAGTTTGTTTAAACTCGTGAGTTTGACAATCTTGGTGAGATGTATTGGCAGATTTTGGAAATCATTCAGTTATTTTTCCGACACACTTTATATTGATTAATTAAAAGAACCCTTTTTCAGGAGCCTTTTTTTTTTGAAAAAAAAAAATGACGCCTCAGATTATATAAAACATCCCCCCCCTTCTTCTAACATCAAAATCTAATCTCATCTTCAAATGATTAAATAATCTTTTTTTTGTG